CACAAAAGCAACAAATTAATTAGGGGTTGGATTTGGAGTGCTTCTTACATTTGTGAAAGCACTTCCACAAACAAAAAATATTTCATTTTTGTAATGTTTGGTTGGATATACTTTTGAATCAGAGCTTTCATGTCAAGTCATTTAACCTTCGAAAAAATCTATAGAGTACCTCATGCATTATTGCATTTGAATGTAAGAGTCTTCTGTATTTTATGAAAATGTTAACAGTTAACTGGCACTAAAACCTCTTTCATATAAGTCACTTAGTACTATAGTCTAATAGTATTTTTCTTCATTTGTAAGTGACAGGTCTTAGGTTCGAATCTCATTGATGGCGAATTCGATACCAAATTAAGTTGCCAATTCTGTAACTTAATCGAACACCTCCCTCCCCTTAGTGTAAATATATCATTGTACTAAAAAAAACAAAAAAAAACCCTCATTCATAGAATTTTTCAAATTGTCGAGTTAAATTATGATGTATCTTTTTCATTTCGCCTAAAATGTATTTTGAATCCAAAAATTAATTTACTTTCTAAATTGGATGACTTCACATTTAATCCAACGCTTTTCAAGCAAAAAACAATTATTTTTTTAATGAAATGGTAATAGGCGTTCACAAAGTACAGCCTAATAAAGGTGGTCCATCTTAAAATCAATATCAATATTATCAAAATTGTTGGCCAATGAGCACAATTAGTATAACCACTATTCTAAAAATCCTCGTTTAAGAGTTAGGCGGTTGGTCATCGCCCCGATTAATGTCTAGGTGATTGAAAATTAAAAAAAGACGCCTAGACTTGTTGAGGCGCCCGCCTAGACCTCTTATGCACCCGCCTAACCCGTCCAAATCCGCCTAGATTGCAACTTACTTAGACAAAAAATAGATAACTTTCATTTTGCATTTTATTTTTTTCAGTAAATTGTAAGAGATTTGTTGAATACTTAAATAAACACACATTATATGCTTGTTTCCCATGTTTTCATTATATTCCAATACTTCATAATATATATATATATATATATATATATATATATATATATATATATATATATCATTCTATTTTGTAATTTATAATGTAATTACATATATTTATGTAGAAAAACACTTATTTACACGAAATATAATAAATTTACTTAAATCCGACTGGTCCGCCTAGACGCTAGGCTCTAGCCGGCCGCCCGACTAACGCCTAGCGCATTTTAGAACCTTGAGTATAACTTACAAACTTCCAATACCAAAAAAAATTAGTAATAAGCTGTATATGAACTCTAGTTTAGTGCTCTTTATCGACGTTTTAGTGGGAACCGGATCCCCTTATGAGCTTAGGAGGCTGAGCCTCTTAAGCAAATGATCCGGGTAGTTGAAATTTGATCCAATGACTACAAATAGGGGGCCTCCCTAAAAGTTATAATAATAGCAGCCGTTTGATCAAATTTCAACGACCCGTGTGATTTGCTTAGGAGGCTCAGCCTCTTAAGCTCAGGAGAGGATCTGGTTCCGTTTTAGTGTACATTGAATTCCATTTTATTTTTTTATTAAAAGAAGTTCTTTTAATATATAATTTACAACATTAGCACATTAAAAAAAAAAAAAGTCTAGTTTAATCACAAACAAAAGAATAAACCACTTTTTCCTCACTATAAACAAGAAAATACAATTAATTTTTTTCACAACCTTTGAATTCCACTTGACTTGAGTTGTCCACACAAACGGACAGCTCCCATCACTACCTCTTCTACCTCCACCGCCCATTACATTTATTTTTTTGTCAAATGATAAGTTTTGTTAAATTAGATGTTAGATTAGTCACCGATAGAATTTGAACGCACACTGTCATACAAAAGCTCAACATCTTTTCACTACTGTAGTAAGGGACCACTTATACATCTAAACTGTATAAAACCCGAACTCATTTTTTGAAAAACATATAGGACCTCAGAGATGCAAAGAGGAAAATAAAGCATCCCCCATCTCTAAAGTGCCCTTAGGACAGGGTCCTCTGAGTCTAACCAACACCAATTTTGTTTTTTGGAACAAACGAAATTATCTGCAACTCAATACTATGGTTTGGTGATATTCCTCCTCACTTAGAAGTGAGAGGTTTTATGTTCGAATCTCATGGATGACGTATTCGATACCAAATTAGGTTGCCATTATGTAGCTTAGCCGAACTCCCCCTCCCCCTACTGTAAAAATATCGATGTACTAAAAAAAATGAAATTATATACCCCAAAGAAGAGGAGGTGGGCTTAACCTCACAATGACCAAGTAATAATATGGTTCAAATTCGCTTTTAATAAGAATCGAACCTAAGACCTTTCACACTAGACTGTAATACTAAGAGGCATCAACACCACTTCTTAATTAGGCACAAAACACCCCAAAAACCCAACAAAATAAAAAATTCGGTGGGATTTGTTGCGTCGGTGAATTTGGATTTATTTTGGGGATTTAAAAATGTTTTCTTTTGTTGGGTTTCAGAGACGTGGAAGCCTACCCAGACGACAACCTTAGTGGCCAAGTAGCATGCAAAACCCCTCCTCCCACCTCTCTCTCTCTCCTCCAGAAAGCAGAGCCCTCCTTTTGCACTCTCAGACCGAACAACAATTGAAGGAGGAGAATTGAAGAGGAAGAAGATGGAGTGCGGCGGAGACACGGCGAACAGGAAGAGAGCGGTGGAGAACGACAAGCCATACAAGGGGATAAGGATGAGGAAGTGGGGAAAGTGGGTGGCCGAGATTCGAGAACCCAACAAGCGCTCGCGAATTTGGCTCGGCTCCTACTCCACTCCCGTCGCCGCCGCCCGGGCGTACGATACGGCTGTTTTTTACTTGAGGGGTCCATCGGCGCGGCTCAATTTTCCAGAGGCTTTGGCGGTCGAAGGCGGCGGCTGCGGGTGCGGCGACATGTCGGCGGCCTCAATACGCAAACGGGCCACCGAGGTCGGTGCCCGGGTCGACGCGGTCGAGACCGCTATGCGAAACCACCGCGGTTCGGCCGGGGGGAACGGAGACGGCGCTGAGATTAAGCCTTGCGTCGCCGGATTCGTGGATCGGGTCGACTTGAACAAGATGCCCGACCCGGAGAACTCGGAAGGTGAGTGGAATTAGTGAGAGCAAAACAGAGAAAGGTTGTCTTAAATCTCTTTTGATTTTTAAAAATTGAGGGGTGGCTTTTGCTAACGTGCGCAGGGGAGGTGTGTGACTGCTGAAGCAATGATGAAGCTTTCGTCCTGGTCCTGGATATTAGAATTTCGCCTACTGCATCTTTTTTTTTTTTTCAACTTTTTTTTTGGTTCAGAAATTTTGGGCCTTTATTAAAAGGTGATATAAGATGTAAATTATGCTACTAAATTAGCTTATTTCCCCCTTTTTCTCTGTATTTACTCCTTTTAATTTTGGGTAAATTAACGTTTCCTCTTCTATGGAAATGGTTCGTCTGGTAGCTCAGCTGGTTTAGGAGCAGACTCCGAGTTCGATTTCCTCATGTATCGCTTTGTATTAAAACTTTCCTCTTATATAAGTGGTAATATGGTGGTGAGCTAGCAAATGTGGGAGGTGAAGGAGGAGGGCAAAAAATGGAAGAAAAAGGGTGGATTTAAGAGGAAGAGGAAAAAGAAAGAAAGAAAGAAAGAAAGAGGAGGGAATTGTTTTTACTTGTCAGTTTGGTAAGAACAAGAAGGGGTCCTACAGTTGGAGGGGGAGGGGGGACACAAGAGGGGCCAGGCTAACCACTAAAGTTATAACTACTAGAAAGCAATTGGGATTTGAAAGAGTTAGGTATTTTTCGGTTCTGTGCACTGTTGCTGATTAAGTGTGGTTGATATATGGGTGGTGGTGGTCGTACTGGGGTTTTGGATGACGGAGGAGCAAGACGGCAAATGGGGCGCACAGTGCCCTTTATCGGTTTTGTCCCCCTATCGGTGTCTCACTCTCAGTCTTAGATTCTATTTGTGAGGTCAAATGGCACTATTGTTAAGGCTCTATGATCCCCCTTCGGCAGGCATAAGAGAGTGCTAGGATCGTGTGCTTGTGTTGGAGAGTTGTGTCTGGATCAATCGCATACACGTGAGCGCGCGCATGCCAATGTTGCATGCGCGCGTGTTGAAGAGGAATGTGAGCGCGCGCATGCCAATGTTGCATGCGCGCGTGTTGAAGAGGAATGGTAGGTGTGGTTGTTTACATGCATGTTGATTCTGACCGTCTTTGCTTGGAGTTGGATCCAAATATGATCAATACGTTCGTGTGTTAAAATGAGTGTTAAGTTCAGTTGCGCATGAGCATTTGCTGATTACATGCACATTCGTTGATGCTGGTCATCCCTGCTTTGCTGGATTCGAGTTTAAACCAACACGTGCGCGCAACTGATCCTAACATTGTTGAAAGCATAGAGGTTAGCTATAAACACTCAATTTGGCTGGTGACCAATGCATGAGCTGTAAGCCACGGTTTGTTTAGAACTTAAAAACCATTTCTTGCCACTTTTTGGTAAAGGGCAAGGATTAATCCACGATTAGCGGAGAATTCGGTGTTTATTTATTATGCTAAATTGAGTAGTTAATTATTGTCAACTTTCTCAAATCTCAATGCTGTAGATGTCTTCCATCCAAATCCTAAAGATCCCTACATCTTAACCATTCATTGTATATCGTACAGTTATAAATCATTTGATTTTTTTCTATTTAAAATTAAACACACAAAAGCTAACCGTACAATGTATAATAAACGATTAGAATGTAAAGATCTCTAGAATTCTCGCAAAGTGTATCCGTTGAAGATCCTCTTCCGTCTTTTAAGGTGACCTACTTCTAACTTCTAATCCCAACCAAAACAAACAGTTACCTTTTTCTTTTACCTTATTTACCTCTTTACCCTGGAAGATTTGATTGGCTGCAGTGTGATAACCAATTTGTCTACGATACATGTGTTTTTTTCATAAGGATTAGTTGCTCAATAATTGAAGCCGAATAAAGAACGATCGGGGCAATCTTATAGTCATTGGCTAACTTCCACAACCTCCACATTTCAACTATGTTGTTTAACAACTGGTACCGCGAATTTGGCAATTAATCATGAATCAATCCCATGGTATACGCTCAACAAACACCGGTTATCGATAAGATGGCTAACGACGCTCACACAGACCAAGTAAATCCGCAACGAGACACGACAGCATCCGGACTAAGTTGTTGTGAAGATGAGTCGCGCTCAAGTGCATGAGAGATTTCCAGCCGTTAGACAATGTGGACTTGTAGGGTCCCACCCACATTATTTTCTTTCTATTCCCGCTTAATTCATTATTAATACAATCTCATTGCCAAATTATACAGACGTTTTGTCAAAATTGCTACCTATAAAGCAGACCAATTCCTTCAATTTCGTCTATGATTGCAGCACATAAACATCCGGAAATGACTTTGATCCCTGCTTGTCTTGGTGTTATGTTTTCAATTCACTAGCATGTTTCATTTGAAGGGCAGCTCGTATGATGTTTCCTCTTGTAATAATTCCTATCTTCGGATAAAGAACAACGGCATTTCAGAGATACCGCAGAAAGAGCATTACAACGACAGAGAAAGACACGTATTGAGAGAAGAATAATGCATCGTTACCAGCTTGCCGCTTTCATTTACAACTGGAAGTCTGCGATATTTTGTCTCCAGCAATAATCTGACATTAGATAACCCCAGTTAATAGTTAGTTTTCAGCTAGACCAATAATGGGATCCGGAAATGGGAAAAAACGTAGAATACCTAGCAACATCCCCAAGATTAGTCGTTTCACTAACAACAACTGGGGCTGGTGTCATCACATCACCCACCACCCGACCATTGGTTTTACTGAGCAAGTTCTACCTCGTTAAAAGTCTGCAACCACATTTGCAATTATATAAGCACTTTAGCAAGACAAACAAATTAGTTGTTGCAAAAAAGGAAACGTCCTGGTCAGACTCAAAGATGCTTTTGTCGCCATGCAGCGATTTGAAATTCCATGGAGCCAAAAGCACTATACCTCTTGTCAATTATTGGGATATACGGGTCTAAGAAACTCTTAAACCCCCTCAAATCCATCCCCATTACTGAGATTATATGCTAATTCTACTAGAACTAATTTAAATAGATCTAGGCAAGATGGAAGTATCTAAAAAAACTTCTCACATACTTTCCAACTGCTGTCAACTTCTGGAAACATGCTGTTGTCAGTTCTTCCGCTACCTATGAGGTGAAATATTCAAATGATTTGCATTATCAACTATGTAAGAGATGACCAACTTGATCATAGAGATCATAGAGCTTCATAGCACCTTGACATAAAGAGGGGAGTTCAACCAAAACCTATCACATTGTTTGTAAGCACTTCTATCTATAAATAAATTGAATTCAATCAAATAAACTTTAGCAGAATTGATTTTCAATTAATGTAATCTGTTTGAAATTAAATTGAATAATTAAGTTGATTTACTTTTGTTTAATTAAAACAGAGGAAACAAATGAATGTGGCCCCAACACATCACTAGCCATATGTTCTTCCGTCTTTGACATCATGTAGACGCAATAATCCAAGCAAAACTCATGCAATTTAAATGACAAAAATGGAAACCATTTGGTTACTGAAGGCCCCAGAGGGAACTCTGTGGAGAATGAAGATAACAGTGCAGAAACAATAGGGGATTCACGGCTACTTTTGGAACGATAGAAAGTGTGAGAGAAAATTACATTGAATCCTTGACAAATCAAATCTAATTTGGTGGGACTGGTATCTGTATGAAAATCCAAATCTTTCCCTACCAAAGAAATTGAATTCTAAGGGCAAGGCAGTTCCAGATGGTAATGCAAACTCAGATGAAACTGAAAGGAAGCAGAGAATTCCTTATTCTGACAAGATTCAAGATAGGCTGTAAAAGAAATTCGACAAACCTATGCATCTCGTAAATTTGATATACAAATCATACAGGTAAAAGTAACATTTTGACCCTTCCAAGAGATTTGTATTAATACATGATTCATGCCCAACACTCCATTTTTTATCCGCACAATATTGATTCACTTCTTTAAAATCCCTTTTTTCCTCAACAAAAGTTAAAATAAATTCTATACTTCCAAAGCCAGTACAGTATGATTTGCATGTATGTTTCTGTATATTAAACTTAACCGTAATCCCAACTTTTTGAGGTTGGTTATGTGGATCCTAATCACATACTTGTTGGGATGGGTTACATGAATTTTTGTTTTCCAATCTATACTCAGTATCTTTATACCACTCATCTCCCTCAACATCCTCATCTCCATGTTTGCTCTCTTTTATGGAAGAAAATATCATCATATGTTAATTAGCATCAATGTTGAAAAACAAATAAATAACGTAAACTTCAATTTCCTCAAACTAATCTATACTTCAATACCAGCCAAAACAAAGCTTCTCTGCTAAACAAATAACTTTGTCAAACAATCTTAGTTCACAAGATTCAGATTACCCTTTTTCAAGGGGTGGCCTAGCACTATCAAGTATGAAACTGAATCAAATGAAGGTGAAAATGAGAGAAAAGACGGCCGTGAAATACAAGGCACAATTCCATAAAGAAACAAAAATGAATACCTAAGATATCAATGAACATATTTAGTCACCTGAGATAGTGTCCAGTGCTAACAAGTCATAGTCTGAGACAAGACCGATCTGCATCGACAAAGTACCATTATATATCAGTTGCACAATGTAACTACATTAAGTTCACATCAGATGCCAAAAGGAAAGAGAAAAAGAAAACAGAAACTGAAGCAACAAAGACGATGGTTAAAACTTCTAGAAGAAAAGAAAAAGGAGAATTGTTTGTTTCCATAAAATAATATCGGAAAACTCAGGAAATTCCATGGAGGGTGTGAGATAGACATCTGCATGTTTCCCTTGCTTAATTGCAACAAGTAATTATATACTGTTGTTCTCAGCTAGATATGTTTCGAAACGACAAAGCAGGTATGTGCGCTCTTGACCTTTAAGGTCATAACAGAATCCTAAATCAGGGGTATGATTAACAGCAATGAACCCCTCTAATGGTTTTCTGGTCTGTCGTTAGTCTAGACCCTCGGATTTCGAATCCTGAACGTCCTATGTGAATCCCTAATCCTCACATATAATCAGACTGGCAAAAATGCAGCTTAAGTAAGAAAATATTTTGCCACATATGTTCAAACGTCACAAATTGGAAATCATTTGCAAAGTAAGGTTCTGGAATTTTAAATGAATAGATATTACATGGAGACCTAAATCATATAATCATTTATGCACCGGATGAAGAGGTCGACAAAACGTGATTCTGTTTTCGACACCTACCAATTTCCAGTCATCGTCTATCACCGGAAAACCAGTGATTCTGTTTTCGACAAGAAGCTCTATAGCTGTAGGCACAAAGCCGATCCATCAGAATAAATGAAAAATCTAAAAGAAAAAAAAAACAAGTATTACACGCGACGAGGTGTCATCTCATACAAATACAACAAATACCTTCATCCACAGTCGTTGTAGGCTTCACCACGTGCAAATCCTCTCTTCTCGTCATAAAATCGCCAACCGTGAAAACTCCAGTTTTCTCCTGCACAACATTATCGAGCAGCGGCAATTCCGATCACAAATTATCCAGTTCTAATCACACAAATGCAGTGAACAAATTCGGATCAAATTAATTAGATGAAGAAGCAAGCAGGTTTGACAGCAGTCACATTTTCCAAATTTCATCCTTTCACCATTTACAGAGGAATCAGTCACCCTACATATTACAAAATTTGATCAAATTAATCGGATACAACTTCGAATTGCATAACGGAGAAGAAGAAGATACCGGTACGGAATTAGGCATGAAGGTGGCGCCGGCGGCTACATTGAAGGACCTCCGAAGACCCGAAGCGGCGACGTAAATCGGGAAGAGCCTCCGACCCGGACGAGATAGCAGCGGCAAGCACTGCAGCCGATTGGCCGGAGCAGAAGCGGAAGACGCAGAGAGAGGGAGGAGCGGAGGTTCTGGAACGAAAATCGAGGCCATGGATGATGGATTGGGATGTATACAGATACAGTGGACTGACTACTAGAGGTGGTGTTGGCAATTTGTTTTGGGTTTTCTGCGGAGATTTATATACATTTTATTTCTGCAACCGCCCTGGTGATCGGGACCGCGCTACATGTTAAATAATAACGGATTTCAAAACTAATTTGACTGAGCTGACTAGGTTGTGTGCATGGTGTTTGGGATAAAATTTGAACTTTGGGCCAGAGAGAAAGTCGGCCCAAACCCAAGGCCCAGAGAAAAACTTAGGAGGCAGGAAAGAGGCTTTCGGCTGGGCACAAGTTACAAAGGCCACCTGCTTACCTGCTCAAAGACCACAGGGGGTAGGCTATTCAGTCACTACACAGCCCAATAAAGTACTTTATTGGTGGCATTCATGTAAAAAAGCTAGTGAGTCATCACCAAACCGCATTCGGGCACCGCTATTGCTACAGGAACCCAAGCTGAAGTCGTCTATAAAAGGAGGAAGAGAAGACAGAATTAGGGACACTCAAACAAACAAACAAAAGCCAAAACTCTGCTCAAGCCAGATTTGCCTTCAACGAAGCTGTAGTCAGCACAAGCCTTCATCCCATTCGGGATAAACCTTCCCAAACCCCTGTAATAGCTCTGCTACCTTGTTCATGGTGGTATCGATTCATTTTGTATCCTCTTCTCCCCCGTCAACCCCTCTAAAAGCTTTCAGACCTCTGACAGAGCCACAAAGATAGATTTTGTAAGAAGTTCAGCCTTGGCCGATAAGGTTCAAACTTACCCGACTATCTTTGCTCTGTCTTTGTCTTTTCTTTCTTTTAAAAGCACAATAACATGTTATATATTCCCAGTTATATACAAGTTATTTCTAGCAAAGTCATAATGAAAATGAGTCTTCAGCACTTGAATCTGATCTGAATCGCGTCAGAGTTCAAATCAGATCTAAGTCTTAAGCCCGGCGGGCATGTAATTTAAAGATCAGTTTAAAAGTCCTTGGCCTCAAGGCATAAAAAAGAACTCTATGTGGACTCAACCCATCCACGACAATCCTTGATAAGCGAGAAGTCCGAAGTTACTTGGGGCGCAAGTAATCAATCTATTTCTCCGTTTTGTTGCTATTATATCTTGATTCGTAGAAAAGACTTAAGCATGGAGTGAATTCTGATAGAAAGCCTCAAGGCCTACACCTAAGGCCCCACGAAGGCATCTATTTAGCTTCATTTCATGTTGCGGTTTAGTTGGTCCGAGTATAAGGATTAACTCTGATGGGAAGCCTCAAGGCCTATACCTAAGGCCCTACAAAAGGCACTCATTTGGGTTCGTCCTACCTCTTGGATTCAGATAATCAAAGGTATAAATAGTGATAAGACTCTGGCAACCATAAAAGACCAAATATGATACATCCAAGCGCTGGTTTAGTTTGACAGGAAGCCTCAAGGCCTATACCTAAGGCCCCACAAAAGCACCTGTTATATCTAACTTGGTTTCTCGGGCGTATACATATTCAATCAAAGCTTAACACCCATTCAACATCTACCATACTGAAGATGGCAGTGGCACGCCTGAGCACGACAAAGTTAATCTTGATTGTGAGCCTTAAGGCCTACACCTAAGGCCCCACAAAGGCACCCTTTCAAATTAACTCTGTCCTTCTCTTTCAGAACTGCCCGACGAGCCTTGCCCGAAGTGTGTCTTGCCCGACCAAGATCTGCCCGACAAAGGCTTGCCCGAGCGAGCCCGAGAAGAAAGCAGAAGTACGACAGATACCCTCAACCGACGCCATTCTCCCAGGGGAGCTGTGTGCTCGTCCGCCAGGAGATTCCTGCGACGAACACATGGCACAGTATGATTTTATGGTGAGGCCGAGAGGGGAGCGATGTGTGTTGCAAATTAGCAATAGAGCAACTTACATTAAATAGGTTTATTATAATTTGTCGTTCCAAATCAATTGGACTATAATTTTTTCTCATTCTTTTTCTATCCCCTTCACTCATTTTCTTTTACATTCTTTATTTTGTTTTTATCTTTCTATATAAAATTAATATAAGATGTTGATATGGTTTAACCGTAACCGTCCAATAGGAGGGAAGAGAAGGGGAGGGAAAAAAGAGAGAAGAGAGAATCATAGTCCGAATCGATTACATGTAATATCATGTGAAGAGAAACTTACATATAATATTGTTATTTAATCGAAACACAATTGTAATGATGGACACGTTCCATGCGTGTAAGTCTTCATAAAATAAGGACTCCAAGATGACATTGTCTCAATCGATCATGCCCTGTAAGGTTGGAGTCTTTTAGGGAATATTGTGTCTTATTGAGACTTGATAAGATGCCAAGGTAAAATGCCACCTATGAAATGCCTAATAGTGCTTTCAAGTTTAAAGAAGTGTTCTTTAGGATGGTCTTTGAGTGTGGCACTTTTATCGCTTACTTTAAAGAGGAGGTCTCGAAAGAGGTTGTAGTGACAACAAAGGCCAAGTGAGTGGGTCCTCCAGGGGTGGATGGTTGGGAGAGGTCAGTGAGTTTTGCTCACTTTCTCAAAAAGTTTTATGATGCCACCTTGATCTTGAGTGCAACCCTTGCTCCAACGTCACACTTAATACTTAGCACGGATATTGCTTTGCAAGTGGAGATAGATGAACAAATTTTAAACACCTCTAATGTCACTTTGCAAAGTGTAGCTACCTCAACGAAACTCAAGTTTGACAAATATTGGGGTGACATTGAAAAGGTGAACTCTATTCTCGTTGTAGCCCAAGCACTTGACCCAAGGTTCAAATTTGAAATGTTTGAGACAAATCTAGAACATCTCGGCTATGGATGGGACAAAATAAGGGAGGTGAAAGCAAGGGTTAAAAGCAATGTAACCGAGTTCTATGATGCATATAAGGAGGGAGCCGTCCTTAGTAGTAGTAGTAGTAATGGCGGTGCTACTTCAAACGTGGAGCAAAAATCAAGTGTTGTAGTAGATGATGGAAGGGTGTGGTGGATATTGATGTTGCTAAAAGGATGACAAGGAAGATCCAACAAAAGAGGGTGGCGGCACAACAAAATGAGATAGCTAATGAAGTGGATATGTACTTTAATGATCCACATCAAAGCCTAACATTTGAGAGTTTCAATCTTTTGGATTGGTGGAAAGGAAATAGTAGTACATATCCAACTCTTAGTAAAGTTGCTAAGGAAGTATTTTCTCTTTCTAGTGGCACCGTTTTTAGTGAGAATGCCTTTAGTCTTGGTGAGAGAGTTGTTGATCCTTTTAGAGATTCCTTAACGCCTAAAATGGTTGAGGTTTTAGTGTGTACTAGTCATTAGCTTAGGGGGAATGAATTTTGTTTCTACAAGGAGCCTACACTCGACGAATTCATTTTTTACAAGGAACTTGAACGCTTAGAAAAAAGTAAGTAAAGAATTTAATTTCCCCTTTTATTTTCTTAATATTCATTATCTATTTTTATAATTCAATAAAATGATTTGTGGTTTATTAGTTTAGGCATGACTAATTTGGGAGGTGGGAAGAATACAACACAAGGAAATGAAATGCCACCTCCACCTCCTCGACCACCTCAAGTTGAAGTTCAACAACGTTAAAATCAATCACTACCTCCACATGCACCCATATTAAGTGGAAGGGCTCAACCATCAACATCAAAGGGAAGAGTTCAACCAACAAGAAGAGGAAGAGGTCAACAATCAACAACAATAAGCACGGTAAGGGAGCAACCACAATCGTCAACAAGAGGAAGGGCCCAACAATCTTCATGAACTTACATTAAGTTTTTCTTTTTGCTTTTGGTTTGTAACTTAACTTATTTTATTTTGAAACTTTGGCTTGTAACTTATTTTTTTGCTTTTGGGTTTGTTATTTAACAAATTTTATATTTGTTGCAAGCATGATAATAGAATACATTTGAAGAAAAATTCGTAATTTCATATTTCAATTAGGGCTATGAATCTATGATTGCACAAAATGGTATGTCTGAAGTAAGGGGCTCAAATTTTAATTTATATGACGTTGGGCTAACAATTTCAATCTAAAAGGCTAAATTTCAGTACAAAAGCCTAATATGTCAAGTTTAAGCCCAAAAATCCAAAATCAAAATTTAGTCTCGATTTGTGCCAAAATACTGAAAACATTTTGTGATTCCCGAAATTCAGGTATACTGAAATTTCGGTTCGAGATTGATGTTCAAATTCTCATCCCGAAATTTTTTTGTTTGAGATTCGAGATACTAGTTTTATTTCGGTATCCCATACCAAACCAGCCCTAAAAATAGGTGTCATTTCTAAATTTTTATAGGAGAGTTTAAAATAACAAATTCCCTTCCAATTTCGTATTCTTTTAGGTTAACCAAATAAGAAAATTCACAAAGTTTAGAAAATAAAATTCCATCATTTCAATTTTCCATCATTATAAAATTTTTTAATAATCTTAATTTTTTTCATCCAACCAGAGTATAACTAAATCTACAAATGATTTACACAATCACACAATATGAAATATTAACTATAACAATTATTTATAGAAGTATAGATAAATAAGTCCACACCAAATCTATTAGTTACATCGGGCCAAATTTGCCACCATTCTTAGATCTGGGCCACGAGCCGACCCAAAGAGTAGTATAGAAGGCTCAAACCCTAGTCATTAGAAAATGGGCCAAATAAAGTATTGCCCTGCAATCGAGCTGGACTGCTCACAACTCTAAAAATGGGGCCAAATTCGAACCAGCCCATAAGGGCTTGGCCATTTTTATAGGCCTATAGTCGAAAGTACAGGTTTCAGAAAATATAAAAATACACCAAACTATCAAGTTAGGTATTTCATATTTTGTTCTCCTTTTATCTTTTCTTGGTAAGGCAGTGAAGTGAAACCATGTCATATATGATTATTACTTAAATTGTGATGCACATAGGAATATCATGATCATTACCATGTTTTCGTTTGTTAAAATGAGTTGAAACAAATAAATGCAAGCCATCATGTGCACGATTAACAATTGTTGCACGTAATGTCTTTTCGTCATAGAACTGATTAATACTAAGGTAACCCTCATCATTTTTTTAATAACTTGGAGTCAGACATTTTTTCGCACTATATGTATAAGAAAAATCTGGTACCAAGAAAAGATAAA